AGAGAGAGAGAGAGAGAGAGAGAAGGGGGATGGGGAGAGAAGGGACGAGGAGAGAGACACACCGCGAGAAGCTGAGAGAGATAGAGAGATACAGAGAGAGAGAGACACAAACAGACAAACAGACAGACAGATAAACAGACCTATTATTACACTAGGATTACAGAAGTCCGTCTTTCACAGCACTGTGCCTCCGCATTGTCGATATTCAGTTATTAACTCAAATATTTCACTCACATCGATCAGAGTGAGAGAGCAATATCAGCCGAACCCATAAGTAGAGCCACGATCGAAAAGCTTTCTGACGGACCTTCAAGCTGACATCTCGGATGGGACTTGGAGACGACGCTATCCGCCGAGAATATTTACACTGTGGATTCTATTACACTAGGATTACAGAAGTCCGTCTTTCACAGCACTGTGCCTCCGCATTGTCGATATTCAGTTATTAACTCAAATATTTCACTCACATCGATCAGAGTGAGAGAGCAATATCAGCCGAACCCATAAGTAGAGCCACGATCGAAAAGCTTTCTGACGGACCTTCAAGCTGACATCTCGGATGGGACTTGGAGACGACGCTATCCGCCGAGAATATTTACACTGTGGATTCTATTACACTAGGATTACAGAAGTCCGTCTTTCACAGCACTGTGCCTCCGCATTGTCGATGTTCAGTCATTAACTCAAATATTTCACTCACATCGATCACCCAACCCCCCCCCCTCTGAAAAAAAACCCTTCCCTCTTCTCTCTGTACCACTTCTGTCGTCTGTTGTCAAGATTTAGCTTGGATAATGCTGACTTGCATTGAACCCATTATCACCATCGCCACCATTTTCTTATTTTCTTGCTCGGGATCAAAGCCCTTCAAGAGCCAAATCAGGTCATCTCCAAGGTGGTGCGCCTGACCTGATTCAGTGAAGAGAAGCACAATGACACAATAACGGTCATCAGGTAGGAGAAAATAATTCAGACAAATAGACAGACCCCCTTCCCCCCAAAAAAACAAACAAAAAACAACCCCCGCCCCCCCACAACCGTAAGACCTACCAGTAGTGCCTCTTTCCACCTATGTGCTGGTGGAAAAGGTTAGGGGAATCCGAAAAAAGACAAAAGAATAATACATGATTATAGATCCTATACGCCCCCCCCCCCCAACAACAACAAACAAACAACCCCCAAAATACAAAAATAAAATATATACATTAACCTCCCCCCAAAAAAAACAACAACAACCAACAACCCCCCCTCCCCCCCACAAAAAAACAACTACAAAAAAACAAACCATTCGATAATCTACGACGGCGGGCTGCTCCCATCTTGCTTCGTTTGTATGAGTAAATAGAAGCACATCGACACAATAATGGCCATTTAGTGCTGGGAAAAAGTGTGACAGACAAACAACAAAGGGAAAGTAAAGATAAAGGATCTGTCAGTGGCACCCTCCAACCAACAGCAAAGACCATTTAATTTGAGTTTGAGCAGACAGAAGCACATCGACACTAGTGCAGGGAAAAAGTAAGACAGACAAACAACAGAAGGAAAGAAAAGAAGTAGGGGCCTACCAGTGGCACCCTCCAACGACCCGCGACGATCATTTTGGTACTTGGAAAAAATGCAAGACAGCCAGAAACAAAAGACAATAAAGAAGTGGGTGGGACCTATCAGAGACACCCTCCAACCACCGAACTCCTCAACCTCATCACTGCCAATTACAACAACACGAAGAAATATCGTGATGAAGACACCCGATTCGAAAACCGTGGTCTCGTGTGTGTGTGTGTGTGTGTGTGTGTGTTTCTCTGTTTTCCTCCGGACAGATTAGGAAGGAAAACGGGAAGGGGACACGGCGAGTACAACAAAGAAAGGTCTCACACCTCTATTTATGTCCCTCTTGCCTCCCAGCAAAAGTCGGGAGAGCAGAAATGATTCGTTATCAGTCTGGACTGAAAGGGTAAAAGAGCTCTGCGATGCTCTCCC